AGAGAGAGAGAGAGAGAGAGAGAGAGAGAGAGAGAGAGAGAGAGAGAGAGAGAGAGCGCTAATCAGTCCACTGGTAGCCTGTACCAATTTGTTAACCCTGCTAGCATTTGGTGGCTGGGTATCTTAGTGGGGGAAGTCTTACTTCATGTAGGTCTCATCTTCTGGGAGCACTGGGTCTACTTAGATAAGCTCTTGTCATAGATGATGAGCTCTTGTCATAGGTGGAAGAGAATGATGGGCAGCATCAGTTTCTTAGAGTCTAGGCTTAGGACCAGTTATGCTGTTGGTTCTGCTCCATACTGCTAGCCACACTTTGCCACCATCTTTTTCTTCCTCTTCTTCCTCCTCCTCTTCTTCTTTCTTGTAGAAGACTTAAACATCATATATCAAATGATATAGACATAGTGAGTTAGGAAGAATTTGAGGCAACAGTGAAATATATTACAACTGAGGCATAATTATTCTCTTTCCCTGAGCGAGGCATTCCTAGTCATTTCAGCAGGATTTTGATGCAGGTTGAGAATGATGATTGTGATTTATAGTTCGCTTGTTTTCTCAGACATTTAAATGTATTGTAGTGAAATCCAAACAGCAGGACACTCAGGGATCTCAAGATACAGGGCCCTTCTCTGATCTTAGCTGTGTCATTAAACTCTGGGAAATTGACATTATAAATGCGCTTCACAGGGTACCTATGCAAATCAAACCAACAAAGATGCCTAGTCCCCCAAAGGAGCCACATGGGAGTGCCAGTACTAGTGTGTCTTGGAGTATAGGATCAGCTATAAGAAGGGATTCCACCACGCCAAGGAAATACAGTGTAGAGAAATGAGCCCAGAGCACAGATGGGAGGACAAGTGGAATGGAGATTGTCACCACCCTGGGACCCACCAGGGAGCTTAATCAATCCTCTGTGAAAAAGAGTAGCAGGAAAGCAATCCCCTTTTCCTTTGCTCATTGCCGTGTCCCAAGAATTATGAGAGCCTTGAAGTTTTTTTCCTGAGAAGTTGCCAGCACATAAGCTTGGCTCTGGGAAAAAAGCTATTTTTGGACTTCAGTGTGCGTCTGACATTATTGAGTGTTCTCTGTCTGAACATCGGCTCATTCGGAACACATTTCTCTTTCTTAGCTTTACTTCTAGAAAAGGCTTAAAATACGTTCCATGGTTTGTTGTCTCGGCAATGATGCATAGCGGCCTGGCTACTGCCCCTGCGGCTTGGCGCAGAAGAGGGCAATGTGGTTGATGATGAGCGAGGCATTGGTAAGTGAGTCCTGTTGAGTTCTGCTCAGATCTGGGAGTGTGTCCCAAGTGTGGACTCACCCTAGTTTAAGCAGGGATAATTTCACTCAGGTAATATGTTACTGGCATGGAGCTTATTCGTACAAGCACAAAGTATGGAGCTGGCATTCCCCATCTTTGTAGACAGTGCGGTCTCCAGGGAGCCTGGAAGTTAGGATGGCTTTCCTTTGCCCACTCTTCTAATGCTCCACCTCCATGGAGTCCCTACTGTTTTACTTACACTGTGTAGTTTGCTGTACATCATGTCACACCACTGTCAATGATTCCTGAACTGGACATGGACATCCCTTTACAGGTGACCACCAAGAGGCCCAGAAAGCTGGAGAAACCGACCCAATCTTTCCCCAACAGTCATCCCGGGATTTTATTTAGTCTTTTCTGAATATTTTGTTCCTCCTTGAATTCTCTGCCACCTAGGTATGGGTATTGGGATTATAGAGATTGTCCTCTTTGGGTTTATAAACCCTTACAGAGATTTGCTTTTGGTACAACCTGCCTTTCACTCTACCTGATCTATGACCTTGCAGAGCAGAACTGTTATGGATCCCTTAGCAGAGTTTGATCAGCTCTGTGGGAATGCCCAGCTTGTGCTGAGACCGGACCGAGAGGTGCTTGCCTTTAGTTTCCAAGACTGGTGGGAAAGAACCTGGAGTGAGGCGTTGGGGGAATATTTCTGCTCCCGGATAGAGCCAGGAAGGCTTGCTGAGGTCTAAGAACTCAGAATGAGAAGAAACAGAAAGGAAAGGAACCATGATTGGTCCCGGATTTTGGCACCAGATGAATGAAAAAAAAAAAAAAAAGGAGTTAAAAAGGAAGGACACGGCTGCTCTTAGGTCTGATGCAGGAGAAAGTTTACTGTGGATATGTGGGAGAGGATAGCCAGAGTCAAAGTTTATTACAGACGAGTGGGAAGGTCCAGCATGGACGTGATCAGACTGAGCTGGACCATGTGGGAGAAAGGTGGGGGCAGGGAGAGGGGAGAGAGGGGAACCAGGTACAGTAACCTGGAGGCCCAGAAAAGTAGTTGAAATGACTGGATTATACAGAGAAGGGCAGCCTTTGGGCTGAAGAAGCTTAGGGTTGGGGGTGGGGTATGCCAACCTGGAGGATCCCTGTAACAGGGAGGATCTGAGGGTTGCTGGGAAAACCAGGTCAGCTTTGATATGTTAAATAGACACCTTGACCTTTTGCTCAGGGTTTGAAACTTAATAAGCTCAAACACTTAAAATTTACACGAAGCAATCAGCTGGAGCTGGGGACAATAACAACATCTGGTTGGTTCGAAGGCTACAAGTATTAAGTTTTGCAATTCAGTGCTACTGCTTGTAGGTAATAAACGTGGTAGCCTTTGGAATGGAGCAAGGGGACTTGAAGGCTGCACACTGAAAACCAGCCTCATCACTCAGATAAGAAGTAAACGATGACGTCATGTGACTACACCAAAGGAAGATGCTACTAATTTCGCCTTCCTTCTCAAAAACAGACAAAATAAAACAAACAAAAAACCCACAACAAATCAAAGCTTTCTTTTGTTATGATCATCATTTTGAAGTCTTTTCTGAAAGCCATGGTATAACACAGGTCGTTTAGAGAGCTGGCATGCCTGTCAAAGAGCTTCGCTCTCTTGAGCAGAATTTGAAAAAGAAAAATCTTCCACCAGTTCTTACCCCAAATGCAAAACTTTTAAAGGCAGCAAGAGCGGGTCACATGACCCATTTTCTTTGTTTTTGTAGTTCTGGAGATTGAATCTGAGGCCTTGCGCAGGCTAGGCAAACATTCTGCCACTGAGCTGTGCTCTCAGCTTCTTCTAACATTTTTGTTTGAGGTGTTCCCACTGAGGAAGAAAGGACTTGTTTTCATTCCTTCCCTGAAAGTCTGCATTGGTTAGATAGCCCCAAAAGGGATTACAAAACACAATATTATTTCTGCTTAAGCAAAGCAGATTGGACTGGCGTCCCTAAGGCTTTGACTTTCCTTTTAGCTGTCTATAATTCTAGTGCCGGCTCTGCTCCCAAGCCCTGCATAGGATATGGGGCTATGGACCTGAAAGACAAAGAAGCATTATTTAGTTCAGTGACTTCCAAGGTCAGTGGATGTGTGACCCCTTGTTCTCAAGCATGCACT